ATAAAGGGACACAAGGGTTACTAATGTGAAGATAGAAAAACACATCCATCCATTCATTCATTCATTCATTCATTTAATCATCCATCTTCTTCCTCTCAGCCAGAATCGGGTTGTGGGAGGTTAAGCAGGCATTCCAGATGTCACGCTGCCCGGCAAAGTCTTCCAGTTCCTCTTGGGGGATTCTGAGGCTTAGAGATGTAATCTTCCCCAGTAAGCTGGGTCTACTCTGGGGTTTCCTCCCATAAAACCTCCAAAGGGAGACGCCCAGGAGGTAGAAAACAAATCAGAGCAAATGTACTCTAGTTTTAACTGAACAATTCGGCCAAAATATGAATCTTGCAATTTGATATAATTTCGTCAAGTGAAGCTTCATTGCAGTGTTCACTGTGCAACAGATGAAAACATGATGGAACATTACCATGAGATACCTTAAAAAGTATGATTGAGAAAAACAAAACAAAAGGGTTCTCCTTTAATTATTATGAATACATCTACATACAAGCGTAGACCCAAATACACTGCGGTGCCAGACCCCTTTTCAAAATGTTCATTATTTGAATTATTTTGATTAATATTTGCATTTAATTGGTTCAGGAAAAGGGGGCTGCAAGATGCAGCTAGAAGGTCCCTGGTTCACATCCCGGTGAGGACACCCGGGATCTTCCTGCGTGGAGTCTCTACATGGTCTCCCCGTGCAGCGTGGGTTCTCTCCGTGTTCTCCGGCTTCCTTCCCACAGTCCAGAAACATGCTGAGGTTAATTGGTGATTGTAAATTGTCCGTAGGTGTGAATGTGAGTGTGCTTGGTTGTCTGTCTCTAAGTGTAGCCCTGTGATAGACTGGTGACCTGTCCAGGGTGTTCCCTTCCTTCTCCCTAAGTCTTCTGGGATATGCTCCCAGCCCCCCACGACTCTAGTGAGGATTAAGCGGTGTATAGATAATGGATGGATGGATGGTTCAGGAAACACTGACATAACTGCCAGTCCTATAAAACAGACTTTGCACAGACCAAACTTAAGTATCAGCTGTCAGACTGCAGATAATAAACTGTGATTTTATTATTAGGTCAAACGTCTGTGGCCTCATGTTTTTATCAACTTAAATGATAAGTTCCATTCTTGCTTTCTAAGGTGATTACTGGAAATATAATATAATACAAAAATCCATTTTATATACCAGGGAAATAAAAGGACAGAGGAAACTGTTTTGCTAAAAGTAAAAATGTCGCGACAGCCTTGATGCTGCTGCATTTATCTTTGACATGCCTGTTTTGTTTCCAGTGATTTCACTGCAGAAAGTGTGAATGTGTTCACAGCAGTTCACTGTTTATTTTGCAGTCAAAGCGTTTGGGTTAGTAAAGCTACGTATATCACAATGAGACACCAGAAAATGTACACACTAAAAGAAGCCACCCGAGGCCTTTGTTATGAAGCAAGTTGAACAGACCCAGGGTGTCTGAACCTGGCTATGAGGATGTTCACATGAAAGAGGCTGAGTCAGCATCAGATGACCAATGACTATAATATTTGAGAAGTAGGAAAGACATAATGCAGACTAATGTCACTTCTGCTTGGCTGCAGAAGAGACTGCAAAAAGTTGCAGACTGTGTGAAGGCATAACTAACAGGCTTATCAATTTCACTGTCCCTTCATGTATAAGAATCTCAGATGTAGGTTTTTATTCAAGATTCAGTTTAGTTCTCAACATGCATCACAGGATTGCTGTGATCAAGGTGTGTTTATATGTGTTGATCTGTTTTTCTTCAACATAACTAGAGGGCTGCAATACAAAGTGAGATTAGTAGGTTAGCGAGGTATGTTAAGCCTAAAGTCAGAGTTGTCAGTGTCATGAAGGTGGCTCTCTTTAATTCTGCCAACAACATGGTAACTGTTTCTGCAGAGCTAACCTGGTCTGGGGCAGGTCATGTTCAGAGTGTTGGATTGATATCGGCTGTGACAAGCGTCTCCCTTTAACCAAATAGTTTCTTGTTGATTCTTTACGAGTGATTCAGATTCTCACCTGAGGGGATTTGTTTTATCTGCAAACCTGTTAAGCTGTACGTTACTAAAATCACTGAGTGTAACCATATGATTACAGTATGGCACACTGTATGCAGTGCGTTGCCATGGAAACCTACATGCATTCAGATGGTGATGCAGAAATCACATAAATATTTTTTTATGTTTGGTGCTGATTTGCCGTTTACACTGTTGATTATTCGATTGCTATTTATTGCAGAGAATATTCAATCAATAACATTAATTTGTTAATTTCTCTGTTGTGCCACCTGAGCAAAGTGCACAGTTCCTCCCTCAGTGTGGAGACAGTTGACATCCTGCTGCTGTGTGATGCTGCAGCTGATTCAGAAAGAAAACAAGGTGACTTTCTACATGTGTTTTTTCACAACAGCAACAATGGTCTGAAAGCAGAGTTTAAGAGTTCTGTGAGTTCATGAGTTAGTGACACTGTGAAGGAAGCAGATCTGAGCTCCATCCATCCATCATCTTTACACCGCTTAATCCTCACTAGGGTCGCGAGGGGCTGAAATTTATCCCAGCTGACTCAGGGTGAAGGCAGGTTCACCTGGACAGGTAACCAGTCTATCACAGGGCTACACTTAGAGACAGACAACCAAGCACACTCACATTCACACCTACGGACAATTTACAATCACCAATTAACCTCAGCATGTTTCTGGACTTGTGCAAACTCCACGCAAAAAGATCCCGGTGCCCCCACAGGGACGCGAACCAGAGTCCTTCTTGCTGCGAGGCAACAGTGCTCCCAACTGGCACCTTGCAGACCAGATCTGAGCTCCGCTGGGCCCATTTCAAGCCCGCTAGCTTGTCAGCCGTAGGGCTGGGTTAGCTTCGCTAGTTAGCCTCGTTAGCATGTGAACCTGTCCGCAGTCAGTGTATGTTGTGCTCGTTGGCTCACAGTCACACCTCATGTTCCTACACTCTGGAGTGACCGACAAGCTCCGGTTCTCTTGTGTCTTCTACATTCACACCATGACAGCTCCACATACCTGTCGTGTCTAACGTTATCTGTGGTTTCCAGATGACATCCAGCAGTCTGCGCTGACGATCGATCACTTCCTCGTACTGGACGATGGTTTTTTCAAACTCTGTGAATATTTCTTCAGCAGCAGCAGTTAGTCGCTCGTTGATCAACTCTCTCAGATTCTGAACTGAACTCATCGTTACTTCATCAGATGAAATGACTTATCCAACATTTATACTTTCAAACATGAAAACATCCGTGAAGCTAACGCTGCTGGCGTCTTCTCATCCTTCATGTTCGTTGGGAGTCACACTGTTAAAGTCCGGTGGAAACACTGCGTTACCTTTTAATTCCGTCTTCAACTGTAAACCTTTACTGTAGCAGCTGGTCAAAGTGGAGTTCTTCTTCTTCTTTTTCTTTCTTTCTTTATCTAGTTTACATACTTAGTGATACTGTTCCCAAATGTCATATTCTAAATTCAACATAAATGTAAAAGTCTAATATTTGCCTGTGTAATACAGAAGAAGTACATTTAAAAAAAAAAAAAAAAAAGGTCAAAATAGATCTTTTTAAAAATTATTTTTCATTAAAAGAAGTGCTCAAGATTTTAACTATGTAGTACATGTTGTAATCACAGTACCTGAGTAAATGCCTTCAGTTATTGTTAGTAAGTTATTGTTCAGACAGAACTGATGGATGTACCACCAGATAGCTAGTTTTGGTAGTGTTGGAAGAAGTTTAATTGAATAATCATAATGATAATATTAACTGTATTTCTATGGCATCTTTCAAAACTGAAAAAGAGCAACCATAAAACTTTGGTACAGTGCTTGAGAAAAAGTACTTAGTTACCATACACTGGCTTTGGGAATAAAAAAAAGTGCAATATTGCCAAGCCATTAATTGAAAACAAGCACTTAAGTAGCAGCTGTAACAATTATTTCTAGATTTAATGTCAAAAGTCCAAAATATTTACAAGTTCCAAAAAATAGAAGTACAGTTTTTGAAGCAGATTTTTCTTGAATTTTATTCACACTGACATAAGTAAAGAAATGAAAACTATTTAATCATATCAAAATTTCTCTCACAGTTTGTAAACATCAGAGTAGTCCCTCGAAATAATGAACACTGTGTGGAACACATCTGTTCACAAAAGTGGAGCCGTTGAAAGTGACATTTTTTCAAAGAACCCTACTGCACAAAAACAAAATTTAAAAAACATTTAAAAATGTAATGTGCTTCAGGAAGATTCACCGTGTATCCACTGGACAATTTGATTGTGCTGTCTTACACTATAAAACCCATTTTTATCAGACCCATCTCGAACAGACTAACAATAAACTCATTCTAATCATTGTTGAAGAACAATCTAAAAGCACTTTACATCTGAAACATCTTCTTAAACTTTTAACCAAATTAATTTTTCAGGATTATGACTTCTCACCTTTGTCAGTTCTCATGTGGTAAGTCAAACTACTGTATTGCTTAGAACTTTTTCTGAACATAACAAAACATTATTTTAATCATTATTCAGATTTTCCCTTTTTTTTGTTAAACTGTGAAAAGAAATGATTGAAAGTGTGCATAATGTCTACATCAAAAATCCAACTTTACAATATCTTTTCCAACATTTAACCAAAACATTACAACATATTCCTGTATTTAAATCTAACAAAAAATAAAAATAAAAATAAAAGAAATAAAATAAAAGATTAAAGTTCAACTACAGAAAGAAAAAAAGGGTCAAAAGCGTGCATAAAGTCCACATCAAAAATCTAATTTTACATCTTTTACAACATTACTTACTGCATTATTTGCCAGTTGGAGCAGTTTTTAAATGTCACATAATTAATTAAATAAACAACAACAACAACAATAGTAATGTTTCTTCAGGCCACAAGATGGCGCCCGGGCCCGCTGCTGTGGTCGGGGTTTGAAGCTCCCTCCCCGGCGGAGGCTGACCTCTTTCCCGCGATGACAGTTTCCTGCGGGCTCGCTGAGACGGGCTGGACGCCTTCGCAGTCGGACGAACCGAGGAGGGCAGAGGGCTGTTGGAGTTGCTCTGGTCGGCATGCAGTGGAGCAGACCGGCGGAGTGAATTTTAGTTTATTTTCCAGGGAAGAGCGAATGTCGCAGGCGGATACCGGTGAGTGTGTCGCTGGTTTGGCGGTAAGCGAAGAAGAAGAAGTAGTTTCTTTTTCTGTGGTGTTTGGTGTACGCAGTAGCCCTAATACGTGTGACTTTGTGGCGTCACGACGGACTGCGTTCAAAAAATCCGGCAAATAAGGGTTGCTCTACTTAACCGTAAATCTGTACATACCACAAGCAGCCTTTTACTTATATTTCAGCCACAGTAGAAGGTGATCTACATTCGGCGTACATACGGTCAAATAAAACTACTGGTATGCCAGCAAAACCACTAGTTTCAGAACCGCTTCCCACTCGTCGTCGCCATCCACGGCGGTGTGTTTTGGCAGCAGGAAATCAGGATGAGGCACTTTTCAAAGTTAAAATACTTATTTAAAGTGTATGTAGGTGTATTGCAAGTTTGCCGAATTAATGAGCGGATGTAATCGTTTATCAACAGCTCTTTCATTCCATTCTTTCCAGCAACCCTTGTGTCAGAAATACAGGTAACTAAAAGTGGACGTTTTTCCAAAGAACATTTGTATGACGCATTGGAGCGTCAGGTCACCCTGCAGTCTGTATGGATACACCGTAGACAACGAATAAAACAGAATTTCCACGTATTTTACAGATTAAATGAAACATTTTGTGTTTGCTCTAATTGAAACTTTATTGTATTTATTTGTCATTTGCATAGCAACATTTTACTACCAACTTGTTGAAGGGGAATTACTATAATTTAGACTAAACCTCATACTACTTAATTGTTCTTTTTTGATTTACCAGTACTTCACATGCATTCAAATTGCAAGATTTTCAGTTATATGCACTTGTTTTGCACCCTTCCAAATTTAATGATAGCGTAAATAAACTTAAATTGTACAGATATGGAGATATAGTTCAAATTAAAAGCTGTGCTCTTTGTTATTCAGTTCTTTGTATCACAGGAAGGAAAACGATACAGATTTCTTACCTCAGCATAGTTCTATTCAAGTCCATCTCTAATAAAATAACTTGTAGTACACAGAATATTGTGGTGTGTTTGTGGGATTCAGTATTTAGCTTGTTGTGACACTGTCAAGCGTCATGTTGTTTTATACCCACGGATAAAACTACAGCGCGTCTGTGTTATAAATGCTTGACATTTAGCATGTGGAGATAGAAATCTTGCAGCCTTGAGGCCTCTGCTTTGTTGTGACGAAACACTTACAGCCTTGTTAGCCTCTGTGTGTGACAAGGTACTGACATCTGCAGTAAGTGACTGTCGAAAAATGTCTTTCCAGGGGGGAAATGAGTAACAGGATGGAGGGTTCGGCGGGACCAGGTGTCAGTGCGAACGGACCCGTCTCGGCGCCCAGCAGCCCAGTAGGGTCCACCATGGGCCCGCCTCTGTCCCCGGACGAGCTGGACGAAGACCAGGAGTCCTCTCTGACAGATGTCACTCAAATGTGGATTAAATTTGCCAAGACGTTTGCCATCATCTTCCCCATCTATGTCTTGGGATACTTTGAGTTCAGCTTCAGCTGGGTTCTGATCGGACTCGCCATGCTGTTCTACTGGAGGAAGAACCACGGCACTAAGGACTACAGGATAAACCGTGCCTTGGCATTCCTGGAGCATGAGGAGAAAGCAGTGAGGCAAAGTGTGCCTACCACAGAGCTGCCACCATGGGTAAGTTCTCCAGCAGCAATACAGCCCTGCTGTTATCACCATCTTATCCTCTTTGCTTTGTATTTTGAGTCTGGTTCGAACACTCCCTTGGGTGTTCTCCCAGTTAACATGATGCATAGCATGTCAGCACTGACCTGCCAAACGGGCTGATAGAGACTTCTGGGCCAAGTCTTCCCACTAATTTCCTTCAGCCTTTTTACTGAAAACACTTAAACAAGAGTCTTTGGGAAACTTTATCCTCTCCCTCTGTAATAAAAAACACTACAGACTCACGCTCGTACTTTTGGATTCAATTAAAGGACCAGATTAGTGCCCTGTAATTTGTGGTGGAGGTTAACTTTTCCCAACGCTTGCACGTGAGGTGGAAACCAGACTTGCTATTGACATTTTTTGAGACTTACGGTATTTGATCTCATTTTGTCATTTGGTCGTTCCTGCAGTTTAGCTTGGAGAAAATGAATAGCTTACGGCAGACAGATTGTCCGCAGGGAGCAGAAATATGAGCGTCGAAGTTGTCCCTCAAAGATTCTCTGAATTTCACTATACTTTCTGTGAGGTAATAAAATGCATGGAAAAGAAGCATCTGTGTCTGAAAAGTGAACATCTGACCAGCAGAGGGCAGCGCCCCAGATTGCAAAAAGAAGACAGATTGTGTAGATGTCTATGAGGAAATGACCCCACTTCTCATTTGATCTGTTCCCTCAGGGGGCATTTTCTTACTGACTTTATGGTCTCAATCGCTAGAATAAAGAATTATTTAATACAAAATTATGTCCATTTTGTAAATTATGGTCCCATTTAGAATGAAATAGATGATAATACATAGTGTGTTTTAGGGCGGGGCTACCTTAGAAATGAAACACGAGGCTTCAAAGCAGTCGTCCACAAACCAATAAGTGATGTCAAGGTCACACTGAATTTCAGCGTCCAAACAATTTATGACTGAAACAGTTCAATTCTTATTGAACTATATTCTGTTGTAGGCCCCAGGTATTAAATGAAATTTTAAGAAAGGAAGACTATAATATAGGATGTTTCCATTAATAATGACAGAAGCAAATCCTGGCTGAAGTTAGGATATGTTTATCTGCAATTCCTTTTTTTACCCCAAAGTTGTAGCAAGTTATAACATTATTTACTGTCATTGCCAGACAGTTACATTAGGATACTGGAAACTGTCTGTAACACAGTCCCTAACCTAAATATAAAAGAAGAGGTCCACATACTACCTGTTTTTGTTGGTTTTAATAATCTGCCTCATCTTCCAAGAGGTATTTCTCAGAGGATGTCCCGGAGATTCACAATGGCAGAAACACGGCAACGTGTCTGACATTTGATACCCCGACAAACAAACTTTGCTGCTTGTTAATGAGGGTCTCATAAATAGCCGCTGGAAAGACCATGCATTCTGCACTTTTGTTGACGGCCTCCAAGCTCAGCATCAGTTCCAGGATTTAATCAGCCTCACTTCAATCCCGTTAACCCCTCAAAGAAGCAGAAATCCTCAGTGAGTTGCTGTCATGTGGTATCCGGGGCCCTTGGTGCTGCTAAGGCTGGCAGAGGAGTCATCAAGCCTGTTCTAATTTTCACTTTCTGTGTTCATTCCTGTGGTGTTTGGTGTGGTCGCCCGTCACCGTGCAGTCAGCTACCATAAGAGTAGACCGGCCACACGCCTTCCACATAGCTGCCATTCTCTCCCTGTTGACTTATTCTATCGTAATGACATGTGGCAATCTCTACCAGCCAACATTACGAGTTCCCCGGCACGCTAAGAATGGCCATTGGGCGTGTACACAAAGGCCGTAGTGTATACCTGAGGGAGCCCTTGCCAACTCTGCAATGAGCATGCATGAGTTCTTTTGGCCCGAGGTAGCAGATAATCTGTAAGAGCACCGAGTTTTCCTGAAAGCTTTTTTTTTTTTTGACAGAAGGATAACAAACTTTGGTTCTTTAAGACACTGCTGTTGGGTTTATGTTTTTCAAACTTTGTGAAATCACGTAGTATCTGGAGGAGAACTCATTTACGCAAGTCTAATCTTTTCCGCTCCAGTGAAGGCCAGACTGTGGAATATTTAGGGCTTAGAGCTGTTTTAATTGATTATCTGGTAGGCTGTGATGACAGATAGTTTGCTTGACAGCAGTTAGAAAATCATCAGTCTGATTAGATTGGAAGTTTAAATTTTCTTTTTGTTTTAATTTAAAAAGCAAGTTTTTGCAATTTCCAATGCATGTCGTATTTACAACACTAAAGACCTTTAGATGAAGTGAACCGGTTGCATCTAATTACAGGAAGGTTCAAGTAAAATGGACCTTATGGGTTTTACATACTCAGTCATTTTAATCCAGATCTGACAAAGCTTTTTGCACTCTTAGGGAACATGTCAGCTTTACCATAATGTAGACCTCTGGTATAACGTCAATCTATTCCTCAATAGTGGGTGGTTCTGCTTCAAATCATTTTACATCCTACCAACAATATAGAGAGTAAGTTTTTGTCAACAATATTAAACATTTTAAACAACGACCAAATACATAGATTTGCACATTTTAAAAAAAGATTTCCAAAAAGTAACTTTTGAAAATAGCGAAAACTTCTTTGGACTTTGACTCACTGGCAACATTATTGCCATATATATAATTAACATTATTAGCTTCAGTCGGGCTCTAATAGAAAGTATAACATGGTTTTTTTATTTAAACTCACTTTCTTTTCCCATAATCTTAATTCTTGATTTGTGATTCAAGTTTAAATCGATTATTTCAACAATATTCTACAGATAAATAGCTGAAGCCTTTTATTCACAGCAACAAAGTCTGAAGCAACACGTGATCTGTGTCAGACTTTACAGTTGTTTCTAAACTTTGAACCTTTTTATGTAATTATGACACATTTCCACACTTGCAGCCCGCACAGCTCGTCGCTCGTCCTTTCCCAGGCTTGTGAGATTTACACAGTAATTCGATGCCTCCGTAACGAGGAGGCATCCATTTCTGCCGTCTCATTTTCTGTTATCGATGGTGATGCCAGAGTTGGAAGCATATGAGGCTGAGCGGATGGCAGGAGGCCAGGTGGATCTCTCCCATCGCAGAGCAGCACATCAACACATCCATTATCACACAGACCTTGAGAAAAATGGTGCTCAGCAACAACAGATATAATAAAATGGGAGCAGTGTTGCTGTCAGCACAGCAGTGCAGAGCAACTTGATGCTCCTCTCATGACCAAGTCTGGTTCACAGATGTTTTAACCAGCAACAGTGTGGATAATGAAGTCAAACAGAGCTGAATGACTGTGTGCCTGATTAAACTGGGAAACCAGTGAAAGGATGCTAAAGGGCCAACATGTCCTCCTGATAACAGGAAACAGTGCCAACCAATCAGCAGGGAACTTTGACCCCCAGGACATTTAGGGACATAGTCTGTCCCTGTCCCACATTCAAGATGCTTTATCTGCCTCACCTTCGCCTCGCTGACCTCACAGCTCAATCACAGAAGCACTGAAAGTCTCAGAGCTGTCAGTTTTTAACCAAGTCATTATTGGGTTATTCCATCTCAAATCATCAGTGATCCTCTGCTCGTCCAGCTCTGCTGGAATTATTATTTTTTTTAAATCGTACACTATGGATATTTAAAATAGTATCTGTGACATTTATTTGTTTATTTATTAATTTAGTTTATTTCAGATATGATATAAAATAATAATAAAATGCACAAAATGAAAACAAAAAAGGAAAAAACAAATCAAAAACCTAAAATAATGTCTAAAAACACGTAGGATGAAGTTTAATTTATTAACTCCTACATGTCTGTACATCTCATTACTTACTGTTGCCTGTTAGCATCAAACACTATATGTTTTCTACCTCTTCAAGCAGTCTTTTTTTTTTTTTAAATTGTTTTATTGATGTCCTCAATTTGGAGGTCAGTGTCCAAACTGTTCCATTAGTTTACACCACAAACTCATAGACATCTACTGTTCCTGGTGGCACGAGCGAATGGCTTTTCAATATTGGATTAATATATCATGTGCTTTTTCAGACAGCATCTTTTTAGAACATTGCTCATTGACCCTGTTTCAGCACATTTATTTACAACATTGAAATTATACGATATATTTGAACAGCAGTGTTTAGGAACAATTAAACATAAAAGTCTGCAATTCAAAAAAATGAAAAACATACCAATATTTAAAAAAAAACACAACAAAACACCTAGTTATGGTTTATAAAACATCACTAGATGACATCTGCATTATCAGTTTAAAAAAAAAAAATCAATTCAAAGATGAAACTTTTTGTGACAGCTTTAATTTTTTCTCATAGTTCAACTCACCCATAGTCGAAGATTTATTGACCTGCTTGTCCAGTATTTCATAAATGGAATCAATGACATGGTGTGAAATAACCGTAAAAAGTTTCAGGCTTTTGTCTTTAATAGTTCCTGAGACATTATCATTCAAACACTATCAAATTTCAATTTGACAGTAAGCATGCTAAAAATGGGTTAACAGACAATTTAAAAAAATATATATCTTGGAAAGAGGGCTGCAAGGTGGCGCAGTTGGTAGCACTGTTGCCTCGCAGCAAGAAGGTCGCGTCCTTGATCTTCCTGCGTGGAGTCTCCATGTTCTCTCCGTGCAGCGTGGGTTCTCTCCGGGTTCTCCGGCTTCCTCCCACAGTCCAGAAACATGCTGAGGTTAATTGGTGATTGTAAATTGTCCGTAGGTGTGAATGTGAGTGTGCTTGGTTGTCTGTCTCTAAGTGTAGCCCTGTGATAGACTGGTTACCTGTCCAGGTGAACCTGCCTTCACCCTGAGTCAGCTGGGATAGGCTCCGCCCCCCATGACCCTGGTGAGGATTATATGCATATAGAAAATGTGACTTTTAAAAAAAATAATTATCCACGTTCAATGCTATCCAAATTTCAGCCAAACGGAGCCATCTGAATAGAAACTGTTAGACAATAATGAAATGTTTTTACTACTTAATTAAACTTCACAA